ATACGATCTACATAATTACAGAAAAATAACAAAAAAAAAAACCTACCGATACAACTCGTTGGCGAAAGTATTTTAGATTACTACGAAAAACCAGCAGAGCCATTTTGTTACCAAAGTGCCCTCTGCAAATTGTATTAATCCTTACGAGATTTTTTTATTTCTTCAAAATAGTAAATGAAGATTTAACATAAAGTTTTAAAAGTACAGTAATAATCGTTAAACGATATTCATGTTTTACACATTTCAAACAGATGTAATTATTTCAAGTTATCTAAAAATATGCAGCATTTAACTAAACCTATCAATTTCAGCTGAAAGATTATTATCTCGGAAAACATAAACGATACGATCATTTTGGTTAAGGCCTTGAAGATGAGTTATATTGTAGACATCAAGTACCCAGAAAACCTCAAATATTCACAAGAAATCAAGACACGTATGTTGTTCATAGGCCTGTACGTAGAATGTTTGAAATGGGGGTTCTAATTTGTAAGATCAAAAGCCAACAGATATTGTGCGAGACACATTCAGCATGCTAATGCTATGGGGGTCTGGGAGCATGCCCCCCAGAAAATTTGTAAAAAATAGGTATTATCACATTAAATCTGGAAGCAATTTTGCATGAAATGTAGCTTACACTATTGCTTGGTTTTTCACATAAAACCCACAAACATCCAATGAAAAGTCAACAAATCATCATTCTGTTGTAACAGCTAGACTTAAATTAGCATAAATATTTATGTTTTATTATAGTAAAGTACTGTACTATCTACATCCATAGTAGTTATTAATTGTTAAATTATATAACTAAAAATTTTAAACAACTCTGTACATAAATAGTATATCAGCTATTTCAATCATTGGCTATCATATATGTACATACTACTGAAATAACATGCTAGCATGCTCTATTCTTCTAGGGTGCTTTTCCATAAATAACTTACATACACTTTCAATCTTGATAGTAATGCCATAATGATTATTTAGTAAATACAGAACACTCAGTCTTTCTTCGTTTTTTGTACACCTCAGGTAATAATTATTCAACCATCGGAGAGTAGATGCCGAATGTTCAAATGGCAGTATTTTTTCACATCACAAAATAGGGGGTTCGGCCCAACTCCCTCGAACCCTCCCACGAACACGCGTGATTCTGATTCAGTTATTAATATAAAAAGACACAAAAACATGTAAATTCAGAATTTAAAGCTAGTAGTAGAGATATAAAATATCTTTAAACATAGAAAATCAAGACATTAGAATTGTATTGATGTATTTTTAACAGACACAAAGCTAATACTTATTGAATCATTTACAAAAAATAAATAAAAATGAAGATAGAATTGAAAGAATAATAAATTCAATGCGATTTTATAGACAGGTTTTCTTGCCTCCCTGACTTGTTAGAATTTTTTTTAAATTTTTTTTGCTTTATTGCATAGAAACACAATGGGTTAACTGCACTGAGTCTACTGGGGGATTAAAAACCGATTTCTTCGTTGTAAGCCCTATAATTTACTTATGATCTACAGTTGGTATGAATATGTTCACTTTGGCTTTAAAATAAGGTTGTAATAAGTTTCCAAACAAAGGCTTAAGTCAGAAGTTATATTCTTTTCGTATTAATGAAAACAAAGGAAAAAACTGGGAAAACTGCTTCGAGACAGAAAGCAAGTAGTGATAATAAAAAAGCGATACTTTGATTTGAAGAAATTAAGTAGTTTGGTTATTGAAAAGTGTACTTGGGAGATTTTGTTTTTTAAGTATTTGTACCCCAGTATGACAAATGTAATGTTGTCCTTTAAAATTTTATTCGTAAGATTTAGTTTTTAAGTACTTGTCCCCCAGTATGACAAATGTAAGTCTACGGACTTACAACGCTAAAATCCGCACTTAGACTCCTCACAATGGATACAGCAAGATAGCCCAATATGGCTTTTCTCTTAAACCAACAAGGCCAGACATGGCCAGGTGGTTAAGGCGCTCGACTCACAATCATCGAATCGTGGGTTCGACTCCTCATCCCACCAAACATGCTCGTTCTTTCAGCCGTGAGGGTGTTATAATGCGATGGTCAATCCCACTATTTGTTGGTAAATTAGTATCTCACGAGTTGAATGTGGATGGTGATGACTAGCTGCCTTCTCTCTAGTCTTTCACTACTAAATTAGGGACAGCTAGCGCAGGTAATCCTCGTGTAACTTTACGCGAAATTCTACACAAACTATACTTAAACCAACAAATATTATTTTAAGTATTTGTATTAAAACTCACGTGGATAATAAGTTAATAAGGTTTGGAGATGATGACACTGTTGAGAATTTGTTTCTATTATTATTTAAAAAGAACCTGAGTAGTTGACAAGAACGTGTTTTAATATAGAGGAATGGGGTTATTAAGCGTGATTATTGTTAAACATTTTAAAACCTTTAGTCGAAAATAAGTGTGGTGAAACTAACTGACACAGCTTTCAGGGAGAAGGTAGCCTGCAAGTAGCACTTGTTCCCACAAATTCTTTGTCAAGATTTTTTAAGTAGAAGCAATGCATGTTAACAAAAAACACAGTCACATTTGAATACTTATAATGCTTAACATTTCTTGTTAGTAGTTTTACATAATTGAGGTGCCGATTAAAAATAATTAAATATTGTTTATCATACTAAATAGATTACTTGTATCACAAATAATTCACTTTCTCTCTTGATGTTATATATAAAAAAAATTATGACATAATCAAAATAACTGGTATAAACTGAAGTTGATGGCACTCAGCTGTGGTAACGGCTCGGAAATAATTACCCAAATACTACCAATTACTTTGACCTGTAAGTTAAAAAGTATCCAGTTAATATGTCACAGTTGTTTATTGGCGCTTTTGTTTGATTTAGAGTAATCAAGTATAAATGTGGATCAAGAGAGAGGGGAAAGGTTGAGGGGGTTGCAAGGCCCTTCCTGACGGACTACTAAAGAAATGAATCCTTAATCCTAATAAAGAAAGCTATTTTCTTCAAAAGGCTTCATGACCTCCTGGAAGAACTCCCCCTTTTAGCAAAAACCTAGATCCGAACCTGAAGTGTCAACACTGGACTTGACGTCTTGTATCAAAACTATTTCATAATGTAAGAATCCATTTATCAAGCTTAATGATTCTGTCCTTTAATCAATCTCTAGTTACAATACAAACAAACGAAACACAACAATAAATTTCAGAAAATAGAATTTTAACTTGATTTACAAGAAGTGTGAATTGAACAAAACCTCTAAAATTATGGATTTATTTAACCTTTTGACCTCCTTGAATGACCCATATTTTTATGTATGTGTATGGGGCATGTAAAAAGGTATATTTGTAAATGGGATATCTGTGCTGTGCCCACCATAAGTATTGAAACCCGATCTTTAGCATGATACGCTCTCAAACTTGCCACTGGCCCACTGGGTAGCTATCAGAAGAAACACCAGGTTGACTGTCAACGTCAAGCTCCCAAGAGGAAGAAGTCTAACAATCAGCTACCACTGAACTAAAGGTGTATGCATCAGAAGAAGTTGTTTCGGATGTTCACTAACGTGATCCTGAGCATGGCTCAAACGACAAATCAATATTGGGCAATATTTGTAAAACATTTTCTCCCTCATACAAAGACGGTACATTTTCTTTTGAAAATAATGCTTAGCTTGCATGGAAATCTCTTTCTAGTGGATCAAACACCTTTAAAACATAAGGCAATGTACTATTAGTATTTATAAAAGATGCACATTCATTGCAAATAGAGATCATCGCTATAAACTTAGTATTAACTATACAAAATCAAGAGCTCACAAAAGACTCCCCACGAAACACGTTATAAGCTCTTTAGTTTACCGGTAAGCCCCTGGTGGTTGGGTTGGGGGCGAACCTCGAGAAACAGAGGTTTGGAGGCTTCTGCTCTAGGACACTGATATATATATATATTGTTTATATCTCAGTAGTATGTATCCAAGTTTATTATATGTGCGTTAATTTATTATATATACCGTAATAAAGCATAAGGATAAATAATTACGTCGACTAAATATTGACCGTAAGTTTCGTTTTATTGCTCATTCTTGTTCATTCACGCTTAATAAACTAATTCTTATAAACATAAATCTTATATTTGTTACAAAAAATGACAAATTACGTTAATATAAACTGAAACAAATATTAGCTTATTTTCAGTTGGTGCATATGCTTTATTTTATATTCAACATGGGTGCAATGTCTTGTCCGAAAACCAGCGCTCCTTTTTTTTTTCTCAATTACATGGAGTTTTGTGCGCGGTATACAGACTATTATTCCTTTTTATTTAATTCTGGACTAGATCAAACTAGAGGGTGATGATGAAGTACCATTCATATAATCTAATTCAGCTTTTAATTAAGCAGACTTGCCAGAGTCAATCATAAACAATTTAAACAGAAAAATAAGCTGTGTAGATAATATCATAATTGAGAAAGGCGGCATATTTTGTTTTATTCAATACAATCACATTCGAGGCTTTTCTGTGACGATGTTATATATGATCAAAATAAACAGAATATAATAATTTCGCTCAATAACAACCAAGTCGAATCTCGGTAGTTATGCGAGGCAATTCGTTTAAAGACGGGTTTAAATCCCCATCCCACCAAACATGCTCGCCCTTTCAACCGTGGGGGCGTTATTATGTGATGATCAATCTCACTATTCGTTAATAAAAGAGTAGCCCAAGAGTTGGCGGTGGGTGGTGATGACTAGCTGTCTTCCCTTTAGTCTTACACTGCTAAATTAGGGACGGCTAGCGCAGATGGCCCTGGTGTAGCTTTGCACGAAATTCAAACCAAACTAAAATCGTTTAAAAAAAAGATGGTCTCAATAAAACGTATCGGATTTTGACCATTCATTTTGGGATATTTTATAAATACGTCGTTTTAAAGAAGAAAGATCTTAGCTTAGGATCAATTTACATACTTTACTATGTCTATGTAAAGTGTTACTGATATATTGCACAATTTTCTGAGTGTTACTGTGAAAATATTGTTATAGTTGTAATTTTAACACGAGAATCTTGAAAGGGTTAACTTAATCTTATATTTACATTAAATGCGTAAGACTTTTGCACTTCTCC